CACTCCTTGAATCGGGGAATTGCATTAGGGACTTGGGCAACAGCTGCACGAGAACAAACACGGGTAATGAGAGAAGGAATAAAGATAAGTGAATACTCTAGAAATACAATATTTACGAGATACATTCCACTTCTCAGGGAACTGAAAAAACTCGAGAGGGATCAGGTCTTCAGTTTTCACCCGAACGAACCTCCCCTGCTAGCCTCGGTCCTCATCAATGCTCGAAAAAGGAGCCTTGCTTGCTCGGCGAACAAGCTTGATCAGCCCCCTCGGAAAATTCGGGGACTGTATAGGTGGAGTCGATGGTCAAGGGTGAACCGAGGGGATTCGGTATTGATTACAAAATGGCGTATGAGGATCACGATCTTCCAGAAGCACGAGTGGATTTTTCCAAGGCACACCTCATACCTTTTGTAGAAAGCAAGAACTATGGGGTCCAACGGGGCGAGCGTGAAGGGGTAAGTGTAAACACTTAAATACCCCTTCACATGAGTAGTGATGTCGTCATTGAGCCCGGGGACGACCACGTCCTTACCCTCTCATTTACAGTCCGCTCGGACTTGTTGACTAGAGGCCTTCTCGACATTGAAGTCGTTCCCGATAGAGCCCCCGGGTATGAAGCTCTTCATGGGGGACTTCTGAGCCACTTCGGGAACGGCCACCTTGGCATCTGCGGCCGAGTGGGAAGATGAAGGAGCAGCCTGCTGAGGCACTGACTTGGAGGTTTTTGCCATTGTAATATGGGAAATATGAATAAGAGTATAAAGGTTTGACAAAAAATATGAAGATTTGAAGATGGTATGAAAGTATGAAGGTATGGGTTGAAGGTTCAAAGAAAATGTATGAGGATTGAAGATGAAGTTATGAAGGCTCAAATAACAATGTATAAAGATTTGGAGAAGTTAAACGCCATTAGAGAATTCGAGGGTAAAATCTAGAATCGGAAAGTAGAAGAAGTGAAAAAGGTTGAACCTTTTATAGGGGTAAAACAATCAATGCGCGGCGTTTCGCATTCGAAGGCAGCCAGTCGGTGATTGACACGTGTTCCGAAGTAAGAATGACGCAACTGATGGGACGTTTCGATTTACCCGCCATCTCAGTTGTAACGTACGAAGGAAGAAACCAGGTTTCATCTATCATTCCCCATCATTTCGGTAAACCTACTCTCTGGAAAACGAGGGGACTATCTGTATACGGGTAAAATCGGGGGTAATGCATACCCCGATTTCCCGATGAAGAAAACGGAAGAAGGTCATGGACGTACGAGAATGAAATCGGGGCTGGGAGTCCTTCGTATCGAGATCCATGAAAGGCGAAAGCTGTGTTCATTATCGGACATGATAAAGTAACGCGTCCCAGACCCAGAACGAGTTCTAAGACCTTGGGAAACACAGGAAACGGTTATACACAACAAATAGATGGCCGTGATATTCGTATCTAACCGGATATCACGGCGCAGATCTCGCTCGATGTCGGTTACGGATTAATAATTAAAGAGAAAATAAGATTTTTATCTTTTTTAGACATATACTAAGGTTGAAACTCTCCTTCTATATAAAAGAGAAGTTTTTCTTTTGTAACGGACATGGTAACACGCAAATCAAAGAGATTCAAGTTTTTTTTTTGCTTTGTAGCTACAACTAAAGTCCTTATTTAATTGTTCTGTTCTTCATTAATAACTGGGTTCGAGCCGAGGGTCCAATCGAGGGCGAGGTCATTGTTCAACCTAGGTTTGGGCTAGGCTATAACACTACAACTGGTTTGATCGTTTATTTCGCTTATCTAATATTCTTGATTATTTGTGTTGAATTAAATCACATATCCTTAAAATCGCGTATAAATTTAATTGTTATCCGATTTAAGGGTAAAGACATATAAAATATGTTTAAAAAAGAAGCTTTCGAGTAACAGTAAAGATCTCTTCATCTGATTATAAGCCACGAGTTCAAACTATGAAATCTTACCTAAGGCAAGCTACCGATATCAAGTTCTTTTGGGGTGCAACCTTTCCTGAATTGCGTAAACACATAAGGTTTCGTACATCGAGCTACCTTTTTTATATATAAAAAATATTTAACTTATGTATACAATATCTAAAAAAGTATTACATGAGCTATAGACAGTGCTAGAATCTATTTATTTACTTGATTTGGCTTTGCGAAATCTTCAAATATAAAAAAGATGGGGTTTGGAATTAGAGTAAGAAAACAATGATATGTTCGAAATTACCAAATCAAGAACGACAACATCAACATTTATGTTTTAAAAAAAAGGACAACCAAAAAGAGAAAGAGAAGAAAAGTCAAAGCGGTTTTAGAAAATAAAATTAAGAAACAGAAAAAAATGTCAAAGCGGTTTTATAAAATGGTTTAGAAAATTAAAATGAAAGGTAGTTGAATGGCATAATATAAGATAGTTTTAGAAAATAAGATGTTATAAAGCCAGCAAAAGCAACTCGTTTATTAAAATTAAAAACAAAAAAGAAAAAAAAAAGAAAGCAACTCAATGAAGAATCACAATATCCAATTTTTTTCTTCGGACAAAAAGAAGCTAATCTTTTTTGTTTGGGCCGAAAGCAAAGATAGCTTAATACCCATAAATGACGCAACAATTATTTAATATGTTAAAAGATTTTTAGGTTCACGAACAAGGTTATACATGAATTATATTAAAATAGTACACATACTAATAATCATCGTGTTAATTATTACATATGGAGTATAATTTTTTTTGTGTGTGAATCAGTGAATATTTTGTATTAAAAATAGATACGCAACGTATGATGTCAATGTTTACAATTTCACCTTTGCTTTTGAAGTACTAAAAAGTTGAAATCAAGGTTATTTTGTTCTTTAGATGTTTTATCTCCGTAGGCGCAGGCATGTATAACAACAATAACAATAATATATTTAATGTATTTTTACAAATGAGGTCTAGGAAAGATAGTATAAATTATCATAAATTAAATATGTTATTAAATAATATTGGAATTGTTTGTATAAAGTCATGTATGTATTGCTTATACTGAAAATAAAATGACAACAAAACACAGATATAAAATAATACTGAATTTTATATTAAAGTTACTTTCTAATCCCCATAAGTGAAAACAAAACGACCCCAACAAGTGTTGATCAATCATGCGACATAAAGCTTTTGCGCTCAAATTAAGGCAAGTTTGTCATAGCAAATTAAAGTCTGCAGCCTTTTGTTAGGAATGCATTTAAAAAGTGTTGCTAAAATTCCATAATTATTGACTAATTCATGAACTTAACCAACAAACATTGAGTTTGATAATTACATATTTTGCAGAAAATATTCTTTTCCTTTTTTTAAGGTATTGTCTGTACTTTCAACTATCCCTTGTTTTGTATCTTGAAGACATTAACAATTGGCTTTAGAAATAATGCAAATCTTAATCCAACATAAGCCCATCATATTGTCATAAATCTTTTAGACCACGTTCCCTTCTTCTTTTTTCTTTTTAATTATTCGTTCAGTAATTAGACTAATCCCGATTTGCTGGGTACGCCCACTAAGCAGTAGCGGAACCAATAATTTTTCTAAGGATGTTCAAATTTAAAAGAAGTAAAAAAAAAATCACGACAAAAGATGTTCAATATGTATTATATACTTTTAAAATCGAATATTTAACCTATATACCCAATATAATTTTTCTGTTAAGGGTGGTCAAATCACCTTTAATAAGGGAGTGAAACGCTCATTATCAAGAAATTCTTCGTGGACTCATACATGACCTCTTCTTTTGATGTCTCAACGTTCACCCACCAAAAGTTCCTATTTAGCTCAAAACCAACATCATCCACTGTTTTGAGTTCTAATATAAAGTATTCTTAGTTCTGTGCATCTTGATGTATAGAGGTTAACATGTGACAACCAATGTGTCTTACATGTTGGGAACCAATATGCACCAATTATATTTCAGAAATAATGATACCCGCAGTTATTAAATCCTATATCCGTCCTGAAGTTAGAAGTACGTTACAATGATTGAGTATTTAATTAATTCATTAGTTCTAATTAAGTAGTTATGCATTTGCATCAGTCTTGTTCAGACTACGTATAATGTCTAGATGTATCAGGTGATTGTAAAAAAACCTAATACTAGGTTCTCTTAAACGTGGTTTTAATTAGCCACTCGCAGCTTCCATTACTCGCATATGAATTTGTATATTGTTTTGGGCTTTTTTCACTTTTAGCCCGCGTCAGAAACTATTTATATTTAGTAGCCGAAAAAGTGTATAAAATTTATATATTTTTTTGTATATAACATACATAATGTATACATATACAAAAAATATACATTTTTCCGGTTATTATTTTGAGAGCGGCTATACAATGTCATTTTCTAACTTTTTTTCCCCCACCTAATTAGCTAGTGGAGCATTGATCAATGATAATAGCTGAAATTCGCCGATGGAATAATTATATATAAAAGACTCGAAAAGAATCATCAAAATACAAATAATAATTTTTCAACTTCTTATCTAAAGTTATATTATAGGGACTCATTCATAAGTAATGAGAGTATGTACAAGTGTTTGGCATTATTTTTTGGAATTTGTTTTTTAGTAAGAATGCAGGAGCAATTTATGGGAAATCTGAATACTATATTGTCTATGAGTTATTCAAGATTGACATTAAAAAAAAAGAAGTTTCCAACATCAATAGCTCTATTTTACTAATGATTACACAGCATAAAAGAGGGAAGCAGAGGTGGGAATACATAAAAGAATTAACACACTATAATTGATCAACTGAAACACTTTACAAAGTATTTGACTATAAAAAAAAGGCTAATAACTAAGCAAGTAGACTATAAGTCAATGTCATAGTCAATACAAAACCAGGGGTATTGAATGAATGTCCCCTTTGTTTCTTTTCTGTCAACATTGCCAGAATACATCTCGATATCATCTTCTCAAAGATCAAATGTTTAATTGAAAGGGAACTTTGATGAAAGAAAAAATTTCTTCTTTTTGTTTCTCATTTCTTTTTTTCCAACTACAACATATAGGAACTCGCAAAGTTCTACAATGATAATCCTGCTTTCTGATAATAAGAACAAGAAATGTATACAAATTTGAATTGACAAAAAAAAAGAACTGTCAAAGAATTCCTAGAAAGAATGTGAAAGAATTCCTATGTCTTTACTATTCACAATAAATGAATAAATGATATCTAATCCTATGTCATTACTATGAGGTTCCACGACTGAATTTAGAGTCCTTTACAAAATGGAGAGGAATGTCTTCTTGAGTCATGAGGCGAATGCAGAAAAGGCTCTTGCATTTCTCTGCTAAAGCTCGTTGGGGTTGATGACCTCGAATAAAAATTGAGACGACGAGCACTTCTAGGGGATAAGTTCACTTCTTCTAATGCATGAGATTGTAGCTGTGAAGGGTAATCTCTCAAGCATCCGATTCGAGGTCCAGCTCCAGTACTCCATTTACAAGACAGTTGCTTTCCTAATTGAAATGACTTCATTTCTTTATGTGAATTTATCCTCTGGAGTATACATTCTTGTGGAATTGTCTCTTCTTTACTGTCTTGTTCAGAAGCAAATAACTCTCTAGCTGATTCATATCCATCTGTTGGTGATTCTAGTTTAACGGTTTCATTTTCATTCTTTAATCTCTCTAGTAAATCGTCGTGGCTTGGTATTTTTAGATTAGGCAATTTGTCACTGAAGCTATGAGATGGTCTTAACTTGTTAAGTGGTGAAGCAGCAGGCATCGTCGCGTGTTCTTTCAACTCATTTTTCTCTGAAGTTGAGACTTCTAATGTAATCTCTGGATCATCTTTTTGAGCTATTTCGTCATCAGAAGAGTTATCTCTGAAGTATACGCCATTCTTCTTGCCAATAGAATCATCTTCATCATCAACAGAATCAAGCTGCATAATATGATATACTATTCAGCATTGGAACTTAAAATGTAACAGAAAATCATGACTCAATCTTGAAGTGCAAAATTCTGTACCTTAACATCACTTAGGTCAACGTCGTTCTCCCTAAGAAACGAAATGAAGTCTTGAAAGTTTTCTGGAGTAGGTCGATAATGTCCACTATGAGGCCAAACAGCCTGTTGAAAACACCAAACAATATAAGATTTAGAATCGAGAGAGATGTTCATCGATAAGTTGCTACGTTTATTTTGAAAGAAAAGGTTTCTAGTGACTATACCTTTAATTCTCCTTGTTCCACAACTATCCTTCCAGCAGCTAATGTGGCGCCCCCGGACAAGAAACTGGAATGCTGAAATGATCCTTTCTTTTTCTTTCCAACATATAAGTTTTTAGATGTGCCAAGGACAAATATCCACTTAGCACCTTTTGGTTCACCAGTTGTGTCAAGTACCTTCCCAGTTTCCTTGTAGAAAAGCTTCCCATCTTCCACTACAACTTCATAAGCCTTTCTTTCCATCTGTTGTCAAACCAATTATAGTAAGTAAAACTTCAAAATCTCAGAAACATGTAATCTAAATATGCAAGAAAGTACTTAAGATTGATAGAAGGACTAAAGACATACCGGACCAAGGTACTTGATGCATTGCTGCTGAAGTTTCCATCGTGGGCATTTGTCGACAAGATTCACTTCTTTGCCTTCTCCTATATCCAACCTGCTTCATAGAAAAAATCATTAGCAAATGAGAAGAATTATATGTTCATGATCATAACAAATGTATAAATTTGACCAGACTTACCAGTAGAAGAAGGGCTCTTTACTTTGAGAATGCAACCATTGAACATAATAGAAATGCAAGTTGTGTCCATAACGATGTCTTGGATCGATCTATTAAACACAACCACCACCTATATGTCAGCGCCAGATGATACGTAATTAACCAAAATAACAAAATCAAAGTAGCATAGATAATTGCTTACAGCTTCAAGCCAATGTTGTAAAGCAAGTTTCTGTGCTTTGCCATTCTTAGATAAGCCTTTGCCTACCTGCACGAAGAAGGAAAGAAGTTAGTAATTCCACAAATTCTATTGAAAGTTTCAAGAATAACATACAAAAATGTTGTGATCAAAGTTTACCTTGGCAGCTCTTGTTCTTGCTCTTGACCAGCGCGAAATCGCAGTCTCATGCTTCTCAAGATCAAAAAATGAAATAGAACTATGTTTAAGTTCTGCAAAATCTAATAGCTTCCACCTGAAACAAATTGAAAATTGTATCAGGAAAATCTGAAATCAAATACAATCTTTTGAAAGGAAATAATTTCTTAGAGAAAAATACATACCAACTTTGCTCAATAAGAACGGCACAATCTGCTAATTTTCGTCTAGTCCGAAAACTCTTGTACACTTTCTGCAATTTCAGAGCTGCCTCATGTTTTGGGCTGTTACTATATACCAAAGGCGATTTCGGAGTTTCTTCGTTCATGCTAAACATGTCCATTGCATTTTCCTTTGTCTTAAAACTGACAGATTTTTCTATCAACATATTTCCTGAACCATCTGATTGCATTACTATGGGTTCAGAATCTTGGCTTTTGAAGCTAATGGAATGTAACAGTGTCTTCTGTTCATTATCACCAAAGTTGATAGACTTCACAATAATAGATTCAAGACTGTTTTCCAAATCACAATGAGAAGAAAATGGGCACGAAAACGATATCCCCATACGACTTCAGAATGGATCTTGAACAGATTATTAGACCTGAAATCCTGTTAAAAGAACAAATATTTTTAGTTGAATAATTCATATTTGGATCTAATGCCAAATGTAAGCACATAATGTAAAACTTGAATACCATATTATGCAGCTGTACTAATACCCTTTATACTATGAAACCTAACTCTTGTACTAGTAATAATTAAACAATAGAAGAACTTTACAAAAATTTGGACTGGTCAAAAAGATACTGTTATTTCCAAGAAAAAGCAGAGAATGTTTCAAACAAGAAAGGAAGAAACAAAGCGTATACTTATTTGACATTATATAACCCATTGGTAAATATCAAAAAAGAATCTACAAGAACCAAATTTCAAAAATAAAATTTTTAACATCTTATACACCTCATAAACTAGATCAGAATATATATAAATACACACAAAACTTCAGACACCCCATTTCAGACGATGATCATAATGTATACACACACACACATTACAAAAAGAATATGTCTGCAAATCACAGATCATGCATCCAACTAGTCAAAAAACAGAATTTCAAGAACTACTACCATTATTTTCATAAGAAACCAATACAGAGAATCAATAAAAAAGAAAAAAGAGTTTTTTTACCTCAATGCAAGAAGCTGAGTGAATCAAGAAAATGGAGATGAAGAAAATATACACAAAAGCAGAGTAACGGTGGGTTAATATATATGGGACAAGAGAAATCAATTGGCTGTCTTTTGTTCTTCTGAAATAGATTTCCTTTTTTCTGAGCTATTCCTGTTGTGTTATAACGTTGTTGTTCTTTACACTGATTGCTATGAGCTGATTTATATATATATAGTAATGAAGAGGAAGAAAGGAAATTGAAAAAGAGAGAGACATACACAAACACACACATAGGGGCTGTGTTAGTTGGATGAGTGGGGTAAGCACGTGGAATAGACTTTGGGCTTAAGACGCTATAAAATTGGAATTTTTGAACCAATTTTTACTCTTTCAAAGTATAATGGAATTCGTAACCATTTTTACTCTTTCAAAGTAAAATCATTTTTCTTAACCACTTTAGTTTTCCTCTTTTAACTTTTATTTTGATTTTTCAAATTCTCTCTTCAAGTTGGTTTTTTCTTTTGGGAAAATGACACTGTATAGTCACTCTCAAAATAATAGCCGAAAAATATATATTTTCGTATGCATATACATTCTGTATGTTATATACAAAAATTATATATATTTTATACACTTTTTCGACTATAAAATGTAAATAGTTTCTAGTGCGGGTTAAAAGTGAAAAAAACCTTTTTCCTTTTACATTTAAGACATTTTGGGTGTATTTGGTAAAATATTGATTTTTTACCCTAAATAAATGAATAACGCGTTTGCCCCACACATGGACGGCACAAGGATATGCGGAGCATAAAGCCAAAGTTTAATATGAGGCCTAAATTTTTAAAAGAAAGTTATAATATATGTTTTTATTTGAAGTTCATTCTTCTAGTTTTTTGAAATACAAAGTTGTTAATAATCTTTTTTATAATTGATTTTCTCTAATTATTCTTATTCAATTGATAATATAGCCAACTCATTTAATTTTTTTTGAGAAATTGTTGATCTTAGATAAGATTTTATAGAGCAATACAACAACAACAACAACAACAACAACAACAACAACAACAACAACAACAACAACAACAACAACAACAACAACAACAACAACAACAACAACAACAACAACAACAACAACAACAACAACAACAACAACAACAACAACAACAACAACAACAACAACAACAACAACAACAACAAACCAGTGAAATCCCTAAATAAATGAATAACGCATTTGCCCCACACATGGACGGCTCAAGAATGTGCGGGGCCTAAAGCCAAAGTTTAATATGAGACCTAAATTTTTAAAAGAAAGTTATAACATATGTTTTTATTTGAAGTCTATTCTTCTAGTTTTTTGAAATACAAAGTTGTTAATAATCTTTTTTATAATCGATTTTCTCTAATTATTCTTATTCAATTGATAATATAGCCAACTCATTTAAGCTTTCTTGAGAAATTGTTGATCTTAGATAAGATTTTATAGAGCAATACAACAACAACAACAACAATAACAAACCAGTGAAATCCCACTAGTGGAGTCTGGTGAGAGTAGTATGTACGCAGACCTTACCCCTACCCCGGTAGACCCTCGGCTCAAGAAGAGGAAATGAGACAATATCAGTATCACCAATAGAAACCATAGGAAAAACATCATGAAAATAAGAAAGTAGATGCAAAGCAAACGCGATAGACAGTACATAGGCCCGACACTATGAAAAATAAAAGAGTAGTAAGACACAACATTGCCACTAGCTGACATCGATAAAAACCCTACCAGACTAGCCTCACAAAGGTACGAAGTAAGAGAGACTCAACTACCTCATAATATACAACCCTAATACTTGACCTCCACAACCTCCTATCAAGATCCATGTCCTCGGAAATTTGAAGCCTCGCCATGTCCTGCTAGATTACCTCTCCCCAATACTTTTTAGGTCGTCCTCTACCTCTTCTGGTACCCTCCAAAGCCAACAGCTCACACCTCTTTACCGGAGCATCCGGGCTTCTCCATTGTACGTGTCCGGACCATCTGAGCCTCGTTTCCCACATCTTGTCATTAATAGGAGCCACACTCACCTTCTTCCGAATATCTTCATTCCTAATCTTATCCATTCTAGTGTGTCCGCACATCCACCTCAACATCTTCATTTTTGCTACTTTCATCTTCTAGATATGTGAGTTCTTAACAGGCCAACACTCAACCCCATACATCATGGACGGTCTAACCACTGCTTTGTAAAACTTACCTTTGAGTATCAGTGGCACTCTCTTATCACACAAGACTCCAGATGCTAACATTCACTTCATCCACCCCACCCCAATACGATGTGTGATATCCTCGGCAATCTCCCATTCCCTCTCGATAACCGACCCAAGGTACTTGAAATTGCCACTACTTGGTATGACCTGTGATTCAAGCCTCACTTCCACGCCCACTTCCCTCAGCTCAGTGCTGAACTTACGCTCCAGGTATTTCGTCTTCGTCCTGCTCAGCTCGAAACCCTTAGACTCAAGGGCATGTCTCCAACCCTCCAACCTCTCGTTAACATTGGTTCGTGACTCATCAATTAGCACTATGTTATCGACGAACAACATACACCATTTTATAGAGCAATAGAAGTATAGAATTATTGGAAGCTTAGAAGTATTGTTGAACATTGAAACTAATGAAATCTTGGAGAAAGAAAGTGAGTAATGAAATCTTGAAGAAAAAAGAATATTAAAGAGAAGGACAAAAAATAAGTAGGGGTTTCCGAAATATGAGGAGATTGGGAAAAAGAAAGATTAACTTACATATTAAGAAAGGGAGAGTAAAAGTTTTATACATTATCTAATGAATGAGTAAAACTGAAAGGTTGAGAAAACTACCCATTTTTAAATATGACAAATTATTACTTTATTTACATGTCTAAAGAGCTTTATTTTATTTTATATTAAAACTCTACTTTTGTATTAAAAGTACTAAATTTTATTTTTTAAAATACCTATAAAACTATTGTTTTTAAAAATGGCCCCCCAAATTTGGTGGCATAAGGCACGAGCCTTGCCCTGTTAGAGCCGGCCCTGGCACCACATTTTCAAAGATTACAACGACGTCATAGGTTAACACAAATTGTGGAGAAACGAAAGAAGATAATTAAAAGACTTTTACTTGGAAGTTCTTTTTTTTCTTTTTCTTTTTTGAAGTCAAATACTAGTATGTTCAATAGTATAATATTCAACACTGATGACGTTGACCTAGTAGAAATTAGAAATCGCAAATGCTGATGTAATCTGCTAAGCTTCAATATCTCCAAGTAAACGCCAAACGTACCGTAACCTCCAAGATAAAAAAAAATCAAGATAAGTCTAATGACAATAACTAATTTTGTCGCATGAAAATAAAAGTAATAAATCATCAAAAATACTTCCTCAAATTTTAAATCAATTTTTGTGATAAGATCATAATACAACAATAATATTTGAGGCTCAATTCCAAACAAGCAAAGTCGGCTATATGAGACCTCGTAGTTCATATCGTTCCATTTAAGTTCATCTCAGCCGAATTTTATAAAAATTATTTCTGCAGATCAAGAAGTTATCTATATTGTGTATTGACGTATGAATCTTTAACATGACTAGTTAAGAGAATAAAATGTTCAAAAAAATATTCATATTTTTCTTTTGAAAATTTGACAAATCACAAAGATAAAATGCACTAAAATTCTATAACTAGTGACTTGTGTATTATGATCTTACATACCATTTGCATTTAGGAATCTTTAAGTGTTCGATTTTTTTATGATACATTTGCTTGGGTTTCATGTACTCTGGATAGGCATTTTTGATGGATAAAAGCCTTTACAACATGCTATTCTTAGAAATAGTCAGTTACTATTAATTAAATGATACTTCCTCCTTTTCAATTTAGATAATATAGTTGATTTGGTATAAAGTTTAAGGAATAAAAAGACTTTTGAAACGTAGGGAGTATTTTTTTCACCCTCAACAAATTACGCGTTTATGCATGAGTTTCAAATATTATAACGACTTAGATTAATATCAATTGTGGAGTTAAATGACAAATTATTATAGTAGATAGTGGCTGCAAGACCACTATGTCACTAATAATATCCCTGCATATTTAAATCGCCTGCAAAAGAAAATTACTTACATGAAAGTATAGTTTCTTGTTGAAGTCAGATTCTAGTATGTTTATAGGAAATTTAACGAAAAAATGACACTATATAGTCGCTATATTTTTTGTATGTATATATATTATGTATATTATATATAAAAATTATACAAATTTTATATATTTTTTTGACTATTATATTTAATTATTTATGGCGCGAAGTAAAAGTAATAATACCCCAAATTTAACACTAACCACACGTAGGGCTGTGTTAGTTGGACGAGTGGGGTAAAGCACGTGGAATAGACTTTGGGGAATTAAGACGCTATAAAATTGGAATTTTTTAACCAATTTTTACTCTTTCAAAGTAAAGGAATTCTTTAACCTTTTTTACTCTTTCAATGTAAAATCATTTTTCTTAACCACTTTAGTTTTCTTCTTTTAACTTTTATTTTGATTTTCCAAATTCTCTCTTCAAGTTGGTTTTTTCTTTTACATTTAAGACTATGCGTGTTTGGTAGAATATTTTCAGGGAAATTGTTTTCGTAAAAAATAAATTGTTTTCTTACTTATTTTTTAGTATTTTGTTAATCAGTGTAACTTGTCTTTTCTTTATTAGAACTTTCAAGCATCGTTTGATTGATAAAGTCTTTGCAAATTGCTAGAATTTTAGAAGCAAATAGCTAGCAGTTAAATATCGATTTTTTACCCTAAATAAATGAATAACGCGTTTACCCCACATTTCAAAGATTATAGCGACATTATAGGTTAACAGAAATTGTGGAGAAATGAAAGAAGAAAATTACAAGACTTTTACTTGGAAGTTCTTTATTATTTATTTTTTTTGAAGTCAAATAATAGTATCTTCAATAGAAAATTCAACACTGATGACGTTGACCTAGTAGAAATTAGAAATCGCAGTTGCTAATATAATCTGCTAAGCTTCAAATTCAATATCTCCAAGTAAACGCCAAACGTACCGTAACCTCCAAGATTCTTTCTTTTTCTTTTTTTACAAAAACAATTTAGATAAGTTTAATCACAATAACTAATTTTGTCGCGTGAAACTAAAAGTAATAAACAAAAAATACAATAATTCCTCAAATCAATTTTGTGATAAGATCG